AAGCGAGGATCTAAATATAAAGCAGCAATAAACGCATTATTGCTCATAAAGCTTTGTTTCCGGCTTTTCATCGCATCATGCAGCTGCGCAGCGTATGAGACTGTAGAACCAAGATCATGCAACTCTAGTTCATACGTCAACCAATCTCTGTAAAAGTCTCCAACCACATATTGTTCGCTTTGCATCCGTTTTGTACATAAGGCAAGAGGTTTAAAAGCTTTAATAAAGTCTACTACAAATTCCCAGTGGAAATCTTCACTGTCAGGGCATTGCTGCTCTATGAACTCTTTTATTTTCTGCAGTGAGGTTAGCATTTCATATGTGGAGTTCCACCGCGTTAAATTATCTAGTACTGGCATTTGCATATGGCTAGATNTTTCTACAGTCCTCCAACGAAGAGCCTAGTGTCTTTAGGACGTCATACGCAGCAAGTTGTAGAGTATGAGCTACGCATCTTACTACTGAAAATACTGACTCTATGGTGCGGTGTAAATTTTCCTCCTCTTCTACGGCAGTATCCGACTCTTCCAAAATTTTAGCTTCCTGTTCGTCTTGCAGTATTTTACTGGCCTTTATAACATTGGCTCCATTGTCAGTGGTGTTGGAGTACACATGCTGTAGTTCTAAGCCATAACTTTCTAAACAGTTGATTACTTGTTCTTTTATAAATACTGCCTTATGCCTTTTGTTGAGCCGTACCATACCTATCGATTTTATATAACATAAATTAACAGACGTTTCAAGAAAAACTCAAAACTTACCCAAAGTATGTATACATATCTTGATATCTTCAATATATTGGGCATTTATTCCAAGTACGCTCTTGCCCATTCTGCTAGCGATATCAACTTTCAAACTAATTAATTTTTGTTTTAATCTTTCAGAAATTGCTTTTTTTATATTTTTGGTGGTATGACTAGTTATATTCACTATATTGCGTGAATTCAAAGTTGTTCCAAATTTCCGCTCATATGGTTCGATTAATCTTTTAAAAAAATCGTGGTCGTCAAACAAACGGAACGGAAGGTTCTTTACTGTCACTAAACCCACACAGCATTTTAAAAACTCCTCCTTATCAATATCGATGTTTACAGACCCTTTAGCCTTTTTAGCAACCGTCTTCCACTTACTCGTATTTTTCTTAGTAGCGATTTCCATCTTGTGGGACAGAGCATAATGTCGCTTCACATTAAATGTATTCGTCCCACTTAATACTTTTGCACAAGTTAAGCACTTAATCTTTTTCTCTTGAACGAGAATCTCATATAGCTCCTTATTTTCCATTTTATTTAAATTAAATTTTTTTTAAATAATATTTGTATGACAGTAGAAGTTAATTGTTTTTGAAAATTGAGACTCAAAATTCAAAGTGTTCCTACTGGATCATGAGTTTCACTGCACACAGCACACACGTGTGCATGTGTTTTATATCGAACAGCACACCCATGCGCATGTGCCATTTTTTTAATTTTCGAAGCACACACATGAGCATGTGTTTTATATCAAAGCGCACACACCTGAGTTGTGCGCAAGATTTTTTTTTGTATAAACGCACACTCATGTGTATGAGCGAAATGTGCTGGGAAGTGCTGCTCATGCGCGTGCAAATACGAACCCTGGTAGTACCTTTTGGTCCTTAATAGTTAAAATATATATAAAAAAGGGACATACTTATTTCTCAAAACCAGAGGGGATCAACGCTCAAAGACATTCAGAGAATGCCTATTGTATTTTCTTCCCAACGCATCAGACTATTTCGATATCAAGTTCAATTTCGTATCGTTAGAAATCCCAAAGCCGAAAAAACATCAAAATTTTGTAGAATTGTTTCCAGACAAATGTTCCTTTAGTCTGAGATATTTCAGCCAAAATCTTTCTGTCTACAAGTAGACTATAGTCAGTCTAACGACCTCTTCTTGAATTAAAGAAACCCGCAGGTCGCGTTACTTGTAAGGTCCTTAACTACTACTTGTCCTATTTCAATCCATGCTGTATGACGGTTTATAAAAGGTAAAATTGGATTTTGAAAATAAAGTAAACCTATAAGATTATAAAAATGTTTGAGAATGCAATGCAGATAGGAAATTTTAGAACTTAAAAGCTGTACTAAACTTTTGTATACAAAAAATTAAATTGCGGTATTGTTTGATTTAAAAAATAATAATCTAAATATAGAGCGCAATCTCACAGACAAAAACGAATAGGGAAAACTACATAGCCATACGCATGTAGTAAAAATACACACAAGTACATATACGTATAAGTAGGTATGAGCACAAAAGCTGTAGTGTAATTTGTGACTATCAAATAAAAATGAACGTTTTATACACATACAAGTATCTATAACCAAATTGTCCGAAAACTAGTGGGTGTAAAAATAGTAAAAGTGAATCGCAAGAAGAAAATGAAAAAAAAAATATTGAAAAAATTGGCATAAGTAAGTACCTAAATATTGTCTAAAAATCGCTACAGCCAGAAACAGTGGCATGTAAAAGAAAATAGTTTCATTTGTACATAGTACATATTACCGTGCGCCGAAAATCCGCTTTTTTAGAATTTTGATTGGTATAAGCAAAAAAATGGTTCATTATGCTTTAAAAAAAAAATCTGTGTGAAATTTGGAATTTTTTGGTCAACAAAGTTCAATATTCTCAAAAAATAAAAATCAATAAATAAGTTAATTAATATATATTTTTTTACTAAATTGCAATAATCTTCGAAAGTATTAGTCCTACATAATTTGGTATATGGACCTTTTTGCAGAGAATCGAAGTTAGCTAAGAAAAAAAATTTTTAGTACTAAGACTTTGATGGAATTGGGCGACCAAAAATTTTCATATTTCACTCAGATTTTTTTTTTAGAGCATAATGAACCATATTTTTGCTATTACCAATCAAAATTCTAAAAAAGCGGATTTTCGGCCCACGCTAGTATGTACATACATACGTTTATAGTAGGATATTCTGGAATTTTCTTTACCATGTGTGCATTTCTACTGTATTCAATTTTAGTTCTAAACGTTTTCCTTTCCCAATCTTTTCTTACAGACTTTCATTGCTTGCAATGCATGCATGCATACACAAGAGTACTTAATCATTCATACATACATATCGCACACGATCTTCAAAGGTGACACAACTCAAAATTACACGTTCGTCAGAAAATACGAAAAACTATTTCTTAGCACATGCTAATTATATGGGCAAGTACCCTTTACCCAAAGATTTTTCAAAGAATTATAACAAAAGTTTACTCCTGCTTTTGCTGCAAGGTAAAAAAAAGCTCTGTGGATGTACATGCATAGTGCATAAATAATTTCAAAAATGCCAAATTTTTAGTTGTGTCACTTTTGAAGATTATGTGTGATATATAGGTGCATATATACATATGTATATTCTCCTTTGTATATACAACACTGTGTACGAGTATTAGTTTTCTTTCACTTACCGTAGACGCGTATGGAACCTTCCGTTTCGCCAAGTGAATTCTTGGATATGCATCGGTAGTTGCCAAAGTCGCCATATTGTAAATTTCTTATTGTCAATTTCATGTGAGCACTGAAGAAGTCATAGGTTATTGTTATTTTCAGTTGTTTGGTTGCACATATTGTATAAATTGGCATTAAATATTTTCTAAATAACACTAAGCAGATTGGGTGGATTGTAGTACATTGTATTTTTTAGTACATATAACGTAAGAAGTGCAAGTGGAACGAAACTTATGGCGCTTTCTTTGCTCGCAAAAAATTTCACCTTTTTTTTAAAGAGCGAGCACGCAATATACATGTGAAGATGCTGAGAAAAAACAACACGGAAACTAGACAGCCCTGGCGCAGGGCAGAATAAATGCAGCATTATTTCGAGAAAAGAAAACACTATTAGGCCCAGTTGTTCAATGTCTGGTTATCACTACCTCCCAGTGAAACATCATTATCGACGATTTTGACATCATGCATATAACATGTGATCGATAAAGCAGTCGTTGAATTGAACCGGAGCTTCTAACTCCGATTTGTGCTAATCAGACATTGAACAACGGGCCCGTAAACTTTCAAACCATTAACTAACCAACATGAAACCATAATTACTGCTTATGGGACCATAAGCCTACAAGTAAAATATACTATATAGTCGCGATGGTTTATTATGACCGCTGAAGGTCAAGATATTTATATTTTCATGTCCAAATTTATTGATTTTCCAAGAGGACCAGGCGCGGATACACAGGTGTTTTGGGGGCTAAGACAGCTGTAAATAGCCGCACACCCGCAAAAAAGTGTCGGAGTTCGAAAATCACTTATTTATTGTGATTCGCGGGACACGAATCTGAAGACCGTTCTGCTTCACCTCGTCAGGATTTTTTGCTAACCTCAAAAAACGCGCCTGTTACATAACATCCGCCTCATTTTTTGGGGTTGGGAAAAAATCCTGACGTCATAGAACAAAACGACTTCAGATTCGTGCCAGGGCATCAAAACACATGGGGGTAGGGAATTCCTGTCAAAAGTAAATGACAGTTTTCTTTATGGTTCTGCGTAGTTTAACTAGAAGAATTTGAAATTGTCTCTTTTTAAAGAAAGTGGCATAACTTCATAAGTTTTTTATGGATTTTAATGAATGGTACCTAGTTTTACTAGCAATTAAATATTATTTTCGAAGTAATGATTAAAAGAGACTATTTATTTTTGAAATTTTGATTGAACTTGAGGCCGTTTTTAATTTGAAAATTATTGTTGCTTTTCCACAAGGAGGTTTTCATTAAAAACGGCTTCATGCTCAATAAAAATGGCCTCATGCTCAATAAAAAATGAATGAAGATACTTGTTATAAGACCATAAAATAACAAAAACAAATTTCGAAATTTATTCCAAAAGTTTGCCACATATTTGCAATGTTAAGCATTGCATAGTATAAATATTCTTCTACCCAAAGACATATAAAAACTTAAAATTTGTTAAAAAAAAATAGCCGCGCTAAAAATTTTTTAGTGCGGGAAGTCATGTTAAAATGATTTTTTAAAAATAAGTCGAGAATTTTAAGATGTTAAAAAAATTTAAACCCATTTTTGTGAACTATTCGACCAGCCCTACGACTTCAAAAATTAAAATTGTTTAAGAAATAACCGGAAGTCATGCGAAAATGGTTTCTTAATAATAAGTTGAGATTTTGAGCGTGTTGCACCAGTTTTGAAAATAGTTTCGTGAATTACTCGGCCAGCTCTACGAACTGTACTAGGCCACTTAAAAAGTGCGAGCAATTTTCGTTTTTTTTTTCAACAACGTATAATTTAACCAAAAATAAAATTTCTTTCATAATTTTTGTTCTAATTTGCTTATTCGTACATATGTATATACGTATACTAGGCAAGCGTACTTAAAACTTTGCTCAATTCTGTTATAGGTAAATATGAACTTACCGATAGGAATTTTCTGTGTAATCAGTTTTATATTTTTTGCTCGGCAGGACCATCACCGAATTATATACCCAATAAATGATGGCTCTGTGAATGACAGACATAAAAACAATGTTTGCTTATTTTAGACTATACAATTAAAGTTTACATGCACAGATGTATGTAGTTATACGTGTGAAACCAAATCGGTAACTTAAATATTTGACTTTGAAATAAATAAACAAAAGCCTAAGTATGTCTTAGCTAATGAAATTGTAAGTAATTGCATATATATAGAAACATTTTATATATATCTACCAAGTAGTTACATATATGTATATACACACATATATTTTTTTCATCTGTATGAATTAATCATTTTTACAACTTCCAAACAGTCTTTACACACGCTTGCGCATATGACTATATGTACTACATACTTATGTGCGTTAGTTTTAGCAAAGCAGTCAGTAGCAGCTTTTCTTGACGGCCGGCTGAAGACTGGAAATTTTCTGAAATTCAAAATAGCTTAATTCCGGACTAACTTACACAAAAGACATACAAATGCTATATATATGTAAATATGTAAGAAAATAAAATAAGAGTAAAATGGAAAACTATTCGCGTAAAATTAAGTTAGCACTGAAAATTTGAAATAAATATGTGCATACATATTTATGTAGGTGAATAACTTACCTAACTTACGGAAATTATTCGAGCAAATATAAATAAAAACTGTATAAAAGTAGAGATCAGAAAATAAATATATATTTCCTTAAAAATAAATACACATTTTCAGTTAGAATTTGTTTCAGATAAAGGTCAAACACATCTACATACATACATATATACATAGCTAAAATAGTAAATTGAAACTAAATTTGTCTCAGAATAGTCAAGTAGATGTGTGCCACTTATAAGCAATTTAAAAAGGCTAAAAACTTACTTAGGATGTGCCTCCGTGTGACAGTCAATTGTGACATCTGTACCAGCTGGCGCGCCGACGAGTTGATTGGGTACCCAAATCATAGGCGAAACTTTGAGAGTAAAACGAATGAAATAATATAAATATATATTTTAGTTACTCTCATTAGGGTGCCTCAGCAAAAAAGTAGCGTGTTTTCCACCGGAATTGTAAACGTATAAATATATAATTAAAGACTCGCCAAAATATTTCTTAAAAATATTAAAAATCTCGTGAGCTGTACCTAGTTTGAAATAGCTCCAAAAACCGAACTTTTTATTAATAAAAAAAAAATTATATAAATATTTTTTCTAAAACATCACCCCAGATGATAAAATAGTTTAAGCCGAAGTTCTATTAACAGAATCAAAATAATGAGATTTTTGGAGATATTTTGAAATAAGTTCAGCTCACATAAAACTCAATATTTTTCCGAAATATTTTGCTGGAAGTCTTAAATTGTAATAAATTTTATAATTCGGTCTGTAAAACAGTAGCGACTTATATTATAGGAGATGATGCACACTAATGTACATACAAATATCCATTTGCAGATAACCTCATCCATAATGTTGTATTTCACTTATGTACTTATGTATGTATGCACACTAGGCGACAAATGAAAGTTTACACCTTGTTATAATATAATTTAAATTTATTTTCATGAAATTTTTTTGCATTAATAACACGGTTCAACAAAATTTGTATTTTATCTCAAAAACGGGTCCTTTTCTTCGGAAAAACTACGTCCAAGCTATATTTTTAAATATTTTTTGAAATTTGTCAGTTTTCGACACTTCAAAATTTTTTTTCTAAAAACTGGACGTGCTAGAAAAATTGTACAAATACACTTCAAATCGGCAACAAAAAAGCTATAAGATGAGTTCGACCCCATTTTTGAGATAAAATAAGACCAAATTTTGTTGAACCGCGTTATTTATGAAAATATAGTTTATTCTATAATATAAACCATAAAAATGTTAGTTCACAATTTATACAAAATTCACAAAAGTTCTAAACATTTTCATCTAAACTTTCTACTTTTTATTCAGAATATCTAGAAAATTTTCGAGTGTGCAGTTTTGTAGCACATTCAATTTTAGTCCAAGTTTCAACCGACTATAAAATCGCGTTAATTTTTGAGATTTTTTTTTTTTTTGGAGATTGACTAAAATTGAATGGACTACAAAACTGCATACTCTAAAATTTTCAAGAAATTCTGAATAAAAAGATGAAAATTTTGATAACAAATTTTTGAATTTTTGTTAATTTTGTATAGAATGAATTATATTTTCACAAAAAATAATTAATGCGAAAATTTCTTCATGAAAATTATTATGAATATTATATTAGAACAAGGTGTACAATTTCACTTGTCGCCTAGTGTATGTAAAAAAAATTCCTGACACTTCAGAATGTACTCACATTCAACATCCAAAATGATTCGCTTTGACACTGATGGCGGTACACCGTTGGTGGCTATACAGAGGTAAGCACCCATTTCATTGCGGCTTACTTTCGTCAATGGCAACACTTCGCCATCGTAAACTAAAACTGTAAAGGAAAAGATACAAATAAAAAAGGAAAAGTTAAATATAGCCAGTACATTTTTATGTAGGTTTAAATTACTCCTATTCAAGTCAATTGGGCACATGGCACATGCTTACCTTTCTTCTTCTTTTCGACGGCAATTTCTTCTCCATCTTCGCGCCGCCAAATTATTTTCGGCGTTGGAAAGCCATCAGCGC